AAAGAAAAAGAAAAGAAAAACAAACAAAAACAAACAAACAAAAAGATTCTGGCAATCTGAATTGCTCGCACAGTTTGAGAATGGAGTTTGGAAGCCAGAAACAGCGGTCACTTTCGCACTCTTCTGGTGGATGTTTGCCTTCCCCAGTTTTCACTTTCGCTTCTATTATTCTGAAATTTTCTGAGCCTATAGAAAAATACAGTTCACACCACTTTGCTCTTTCACTGTGTTGATCAATCATAGCGGCTAGTCTTGATTGTCAACTTGGTAGAATTTAGTCAACCCACCATGGGATCATGTAGAGGGCAATGGTCTTCATGCTCACAGATAAGCACCGGAGACACCAGGACTGTTAATAATGCAGGGGTGTCTCCTCAATGGAGGAAATAAATACCCGTTTTCCACCCAGAAAACTGGGAGTAGATATTGTCAATGATCTGGTGACCTTTGCTCTCTGTAGAGCCAGACCTCACCCCAGTCTCCCAGGATGTTTATCCCAGACCACCATCCCCAGACTTTTATCTTTAGCTCTAGTTAATGGAGCCCATTCTTTTTTTTTGGGGGGGGGGGTCGAGACAGGGTTTCTCTGTAGCTTTGGAGCCTGTTCTGGACTAGCTCTGTAGACCAAGCTGGCCTTGAACTCACAGAGATCCACCTGCCTCCCGAGTACTGGGATTACAGGCGTCCGCCGCCGCCGCCGCCGCCGCCGCCACCGCTGCCACCACCACCCGGCTAATAAAGCCCATTTTTAGGGGAGACGTCACAGAGGCTTGCTGACTGACCTCTGCTATCTCTACCACACTAGATGCTAAGCCCTAAGCTATGGAACCCATCTTCATGATCACATGTACTTCGTAAAGGAGTTTCTATGCAGTCACACCTTAAGCTTTATTGTGAACCTGGAATTGTAATGATTGTTGCCTAGAAACCTTTCCAAATTGTACTGTGTTTAAATATGCTGGCAATGTGCAGTTGCCTGTTGTTAGACTTTCTAGAAGGTTGACACAGCACCAACTAAGTTGGACTGAACAGTTTTCCTTCTTGCCTCTCCAGGTTCATTTCCCTGTCTACCGTGACACTTGCAGGGACCCTGCCCCCAGAAACTTCTAGGCATATCTTGAGGGAGTTTCCAGATTAGATTACATTAGGTAGGGAGACCCACAGTAAATGTAGGTGACGCCATCCTATGGGCTGGGGTCCCAGACGAAATACAGAGAGAGCAAGCAGACGACCTGCCTTCATTGTTCTCTGCTTCCTGACTGGACA